TTTTTTTGACGTCTTCGTTTCACAGTTTTGCGCTCGATAGCTTCGTAAAACAATACATTTTGTTTATTAAAGTCTCCCAAATACCAAAACTTCTCAAAAATATTCTTTCTTTCTTCTTCTTCGTAATTTTCATGCAAGCTTTTCGACAACGGCAATCTTTGTTTTGGAAAACTTTTAAAGGTACAATATTTTCGGTTTGAGTACAATATCTTTTTCCTGAATTCCGTTTAATCTTTCGCATTTTTTGGATGTATGTTTCATCAATTTTTTCTTCATTGTTATCTGTATCTTCATCCCCTGACGACGAATATTGTTCTATAATTCTCTTTTTTTTCGTTTTTTCTTGAAATCATTAGTACTACTAATTCTTCTTCACTATTTGAACTAAATGGTCTTGTCGTTTTGTTCTTCCCTATGGGTGAAATAATTTCTAAAATTTAATATTAAATTTTAAGTTTTATATTTAACTGTATGTATATTGCGTAAATTTTTTTTAACTACATTAATTAAACGTACTGATTATTCAACTAAAGCAATTATCCAAAAAGTGAGGTTAACTTGTTAAATACTAATTAATTAAAATTACCTTCATCACTGTCTTCGGACATTATNTATCTCAATTTAAATATAAATGGACTTAGGCCGCTTTCAAAATAAATGGCTCAATTATTGAACTAACTCTGAAACTTATTTGTCCAAAATTATCGTATTTACTCGGAATATAAGTAACCTCAAATGCTTTATTGATAGATAACTTGAAGTTGTACATGTAACCACGGGCAACCGGAAATAACTGAAAAATGGACTTAGGCCACTTTCAAAATAAACGGCTCATATANAGAGTATAAAAAGATTTATTGATATTATCAGTTTGATCTTAGGTGGCGTCGCCAAAGTCAGAACAAGGACACTTTGAGTTTTTTTAATGAAACCCCCTAGATTTTATTGCATATTATTATAGCCTTTCTTGAGACCTTTCCAAAACTATAAGAAAGTATTTTTTCACTAAATACTTTCGAGTTAAGGCTTGAAAGTTACAATACCGTCGGCATTAGCATTACGCAAAGTGTACCACACGAAGATTGCCCAGTCACACAACACCTCTTTTGTGTTTAGAGGAAGATCAGAGGATGATCTAGCCAATGAAGGCAAGATCTGTATGATCCAGCCAATGAAGGCAAGATCTGTATGATCCAGCCAATGAAGGTAAGATCGGTGATTGATCCAGCCAATGAAGAAAAGATCGGCATGATCTAGTCAATGAAGGCAAGATCGGTGGTTGATCCAGTATATATATATATATGCAATAAAATCTAGGGGGTTCCATTAAAAAAACTCAAAGTGTCCTTGTTCTGACTTTGGCGACGCCACCTAAGATCAAACTGATAATATCAATAAATCTTTTTATACTCTATATATATATATACATTTGATATTTAATTTGTAAACTAAATTGGGTTGTTATGTTTGGGTTAAATTAGGTTGTTGTATATTATTAAAGTATATAATTATATTTATCTAAGTAAGTCTATTAGCAGTCTACCAGCAGATTGGTGACAGATCCGATCAGAATCCATCGACAGATCTATAGACATTCGTGTCCGCATTAAGTTCGTGTTCTGTTGACAGAGTCTACTGATATGATTCGACGGCAGATTGGTGACAGAAAGCGACTAGATTCTGCCACCAAACCTCGCGCAGCAAGGCCTGCTCGGTTTTTGCCGTCAATCTACTGACATGACATGTGAGCAAGCTCTGTCAGATTTTTGATGGCAGTTTGGCAACATCGTCAGATAGAAAAAATTGTATATGAAATTGTTGCATCTCTGCCATCAAAAATTTATATTAAATTGTGCACAGAGTCTGCTTGCGCAGGTTTGGCTATCTAAGTTAATTAAATATTTAACTAATTTTTATTTAAACATTTATCTAACATTTGTTTAAATATTTTGATTATAAACTTCTTTTTCAGTAAAAATCTATTTAAGAGCGTTCATTTGACATCAATTAAAGAGTTTTAGTCAAAATGACGATAGAACGTGACTGGTTTTCGGAAGCTCTCAGATCTTTTCAGATCTCTTCGTTTACATTAAAAACTAATGCACATCACGCGCTTGTTACATCAAAATAATCAGATCAACGAGAAATGCGCTATCAACGGCTCGATATTGTAAAAAGTTAAATATCTTCACCAAAAGGTTCAATATTTTCAACCATAGAACATTATAAAAATAAAAAAAATGCGTAGTAGTGTATTAATAATTTTGTTATTTTAAGAAGAATAAATGAAAAAAGAAGAATGTGGAATAGTAATTAACATAACTTGTTCGGCATAATCAATAGTTTTTCTTTAATTCTTTTTACTTCTTCTATTTTACCTCAAAACATATATTTACCTAGAAACTGTGAAGAAATATCTTATATATTTTAAACATGTTAGAATTTGTAACCAAATTCGAACACCGTAAATTTTTAGTATTTATACAATGCAATTAATAAAATTTAACAATGTATCGGTATCTTTCTTGATATTGCAGCATATAAAACAATTTATTAAACATATACCGAACAAATATATATACAAGTTTGTATATTGTCATTTTTTGCAAAACTTCCTATAAAATTATATACTATATACTAATAGGAAATCTATGATTATATAGAGCACAGCAAAAACTCCGGAGCTAATTATCTAAAAATATATAGATTTATTTTTAAAAATATTTAAAACAAAAATAGTAGGGTTTAAAAAAGCTATCAAATGTTGATATTGATTTGACCTTGAGAAGCGTCGTTAAGGTCAACATAAAAATCGTAATCGTAAAAAAATCGAAATTTCTATTTTTCATAGCATATCTTTGTAGCTGACGCTGAGATGTTACCAAAACATTGGTTACAAACTTTTTTTTGATGAGAATTTTCAGAGTTATGAATCTTCAAAATTTCAATATTGTACGTATGCATGCACGCACGCACATACAAAAAGTATAAATCCGACTGGGCTACCTTCTTGTGGTACACCTTGAGTAATGCTTATGGTATTGAAATTTTGTAGTCAAAACTCTGAAAGTTTTCATTGAAAAAAGGTTTGTAACCAGTGTTTTGGAAACATCTCAACGTCAGCTACAAGGATATGCTATAAAAAATACAGATTTCCATTTAAGATTTTTATGTTGACCTTGACAACGTTTCTCAAGGTCATCCCAAGATCAAGTAAATATCAATGTATAATAGCTTTTTTAAACGCTATTACTTTTAATTGAAACATTTTTAACACTTTTTGTCCTAAGTCCGAGTATAGGTCGGGATAGCGCGCAGACGACAATTGTCGAAGCCCAAGTATAACTTGGGCCTCGCTATTTAAATCCATACGTTTTTGTTATTTTTAAAGTGCTTTTTTCACACTTAAAATTGATATATTGGTTGCTACGTTACAACAACATATATCAAAAATGAAAATTTTTTTATAGACATCAAAATTGTCCAAGATCCCATTAATAAATCATCTTTAAGGCCAAGGCTTCAAAGTGTTAAATAAATCAATATTTTTTGAGATAATTAGCCGTTCTGAAATTTTCGGCGGGTTCTGTATAACAAAAGTCACTGTTATATGATAACAATAATAATAAGCCAACATATATATAAAACGCAACTTTTATTATATTTAATAAAATGTTACTTACCCTTGGTACCTCTACAGGATGTTCTTCTTGTATCATATCCAATGCTGGACTATTACTGGGGGAGTAACTTACAGGGGTAGTAGCAGGTGATCTATGATGCCTAAGAGGACTTAAATCTAATGGTGTCGCCGGTGGTTGCGCTGGCGTACCATGTACGATACTACCCTGTACCGGCGTTGTAGTTAAACCACTAAGACCTATTGTTAATGAACAAAAAATAACAAAAGTGAATTCATATACATATCAAACTTCTCATTTTTAAATGATATGCATTACACAATAACAATTTTAAACATGCATTCCTTAAAATATTGATATATGTATGTTTTATATAGGATGTAAAAAAATTACGAAATTTCTAAATATCTCGAGAACTATTTCTAAAGTATTAAAGTATTTCTAAAAAAAAATATTTCAGACCAAAATTATAAGATTACAAAAAAAACATTAAATAGTAATATTGTCGTGATTTTGAAGTATATTTTGGTAAATATACAGGATTGGGAAAGTTATTTTTAAAAAGTTATCCACATTGAACGAGCAACGGTAACGCGTTGTTTTTTCAATAAGTAACAAATAACGGTAACGAGTTACTTTTTAAAAATAACTTTTCCAACGCTGAATATTCACATAAGATCAACTCCCTCAGAAGTCAAAGATCTTGATATACGTTATAGAATTCATCCCCTTGAGCAATATTCAAAAGGTCTTAACCATCACTCATTGTTTATTAAAAAGTTATTAACAAAAGATATGCTGGCACAATCCTGAAAATTAATGTTTTTCTCATTTATTATTTGTAATTATATTACATAATTTTACATACTTTTGTATCATTAATGAGACGCATTGTAAATATTATTTATTATTTTCTGATACAATTAAGAAAATAATTAAGAAGATGTGAAAAATCAAGTCATCAAATATAATTAAGAAGACAATTAAGATGTGAAAAATTCATCTATACGTTCATGGTGCAGGAGGAGACGTTTAAATAAATATTTGGCTTTGGTTTAATAATAAATACATATTGAAGGAGAGAGAATGTTACTAGTATTTACGGGGAAGGGGCTTCGCCTCTCCCCGTTGGTTAATCTAATCCACAGGTTCTCAAACTTATTTCGACCACCTCCCACTTTGAGACTAAAAAAAAATCTAGTGCCCCCTCTATTTTTTAACTTACCTTTTTACATTACCATCTGTTACGTTTCTTAAAAACAGTTATTGCAAATATAATTTTTAAACATGCATTATTATATGGATAGGATAGATAGGGTGTGACCCATATCCTATTTCTGAGATCAAAGAATGTTTCAATGAGAGGAAATAAAACTCATACTTAATCATATTTAGAAGTATTTTTATTAACATTAAAAGAAGGCTTTGAATTTAAAACTTATCTAATGTGAAGGATGAATTTGATGCGTTTTGACAAGTTTGTTAATATCAGGCTCGAATTCACTTAAAAACAGCCTTAAGTCGCTGCGTTCAGTAACTTGCAGCCGATTTCTCTTTTTAGTTAGCAACGTTGCTACAGCACTAAATCCACGTTCACACTAATACGACGATGGGAATGCTATCAGAAATCGTTGAACAACCGACCATAAACTAGGGTACAGTTGGGAGATTCGCTTCTGCAGCCAAAATTCTTGATAGCCATTCTTGAATTTAATTTTTAATTCTTCGTTTGTTGTCAGTTCTATAAGTTGTTCTTCTAACTGGGATGATCCTGCTGTGTTGGTTTGAAAAAGGATCCAAAACCCAGTCTGGTATGTCCACGTTTAAAATGTCCTTGAATCGTTCCTTAAAATCATCGTGGAGGTTCTCCAAGTGTTGACAGTAAATAAGCAAGTTATCGTTACTGAAGGATACTGCCGATAAATTGAGGAAGTTATTAAATTCATGTCTGCCGATATTCCTTCTGTACAGTAGCAATTTGGCTTCGAAAGCAGCAACGATATGTTTTAATTAAGTTTAAGTCGTCGCCTTGAAGCTGGAGATTCACATCATTAAACAATTTATACAGGTCTGTCAAATACGCAATATCATTCTTTGATGTGATGAGGTTGCCGCGCAATTCTGTATCTTTGTTTTCCAGGAACTCTATCACAGAGTCAAACAGATTGTAAAATCGAATCAGACAAGTACCTTTTGATAGCCAGCGCACTTCTGTGTGAAGCAGCAAGTGGTTAGAATCTTCATCATTGGCAGCGCAAAGCTGACTAAATAATCTGTCATTTAGTGAGCTGCTTCTGATTTTATTAACTGCTGTGATAACATATTGCAATGATGTATGCAAGCGTTCACTCAGATTTCTTGCAACCAAATGCTGGCGATGAATGACGCAATGTTCAGCTAGCACGCCTGGAACTTTATTTTTTAAGTACGCTATGAAGCCTTTGTAACGTCCTGACATAGCCGGAGCGCCATCTGTAACAGCTGACGTAATATTATTCAAAGGAACTTCCTTTTCGTCACAAAACTTTTCCAGTGTATTAAATATGGTTTCTCCCTTTGTGTCTGTTTCTAAATTTCTAGAAAATAATAGTTCTTGACATATTTTCTCAACTTTGATAAACCTCACGTATGACAATAACAATGCTTCATTAGTTGGTAAAGTGGACTCATCAAACTGAATTAAAAATTGACAAGTCTTAAGATGATTACACAACGATTCTTCAATGTTTTTAGCCATCTCATCAATTCGTCTTTGTACAGAACTATTGCTTAAAGGAATTTTTCGGATAATATCTGCCGCTGGTTTATGGAGCACAGTAGTTAATATTTCTTTTACTGGCGGTAAAATTAAATCCTCCCCTATAGTATGTGGTTTGCCGGTTTTAGCAATTAACAATGAGATATTGTACGAAGCACGAAGTCCGTCATCGTCTTGCTTAGAAGCTGCTGAAAAAAGTTTCGAGATAGTTGTTTGAACTGTGTACTTCTTTTCCAGGTCTTGAAAATAAGTCACATTTTTGTCTTTCTTATCCGAGTGAACTTTATTTAAATGATCTTGTAGCCTAAATGGCTTCATCGCTTCGTTCAAAAATGGTTTTTGGCAAATAAGGCACATTGACGATGACGGATTTGTAGGATTTTCTATAAATCCGTATTTAATATAATCCGCACCGTACTGTCGTCTTTTCTTCTTTGCTTCCGACATAGTTTAGACGTGAGTAAAATATTCGCTTGAAAACCTGCTATCGATATGATGATGCGGTACGCGCTAAAATGCTAATGAAAATAAAATACCAGGTATAGAAGTATGAAACCGGAATTTCTCTATAGATGGTGCTAGTCATCAATTTAGGGACCGTAAGACCGCTTCTGCAGCGCCATCATCTCCCTCTAACAGCTGACGAAGATTTTCAACACACAACAACCCAAGTTCCATACACCGGTATATTTTTCTATAACCTTAAACATGTCGAGTTTTGTGCCTACGAACTACGATTTGCGGACAGCATTGGTTTTTTGTTATCATTTGAAGAAAACTGCTGCGCATCGAATGCTTGTCGAAGCTTACGGTGAACATGCTCTTGGTAAAACACAGTGTTTCGAATGGTTCAAAAAATTCAAAAGTGGTGATTTTGACGTGAGAAACGAAGAGCGTGGGAAACCACCGAAAAAGTTCTCAGACAACGAATTGCAAGCCTTATTGGATGAAGATGATACTCAAACTCAACAAGAACTCGCGGATGAATTGAATGTGACGCAGAAAGCTCAATTCGTTGTAAACCATGGGAAAGATTGAGAAAATGGGAAAATGGGTTCCGCATGAACTGAATAAAAGACAGCAAGAAAATCGAAAAACCACTTGTGAAATGCTGCTCGACAGATACAAAAGAAAGTCCATCGTATTATGACAGGTGATGAAAAATGGATATATTTTGAGAATCCTAAGCGTCAGAAATCATGGGTGAATCTATCAACATCCACTGCAAATCGCTTTGGAAAGAAGACAATGCTCTGTGTTTGCTGGGATCAGAAGGGTGTAATCTATTATGAGCTGCTAAAACCTGATGAAACCGTTAACACTGATCGCTACCAACAGCAAATGATCGATTTAAATCGCGTGAAAAACAACCGGAATATGGAAAAAGGCAACACAAAGTCATTTTGCTCCATGATAATACCCCATCACACACAGCAAAACGGGTCAGGGAAACGATCGAGGCGTTCAGTTGAGAAATACTAAATAACGCATGCGGCTTATTCTCCAGACTTGGCTCCGTCCGATTATCATCTATTCGCATCAATGGGACACGCTCTCGCTGAACAACGCTTCAATTCGTATGGAAATGTACGAAAATGGCTCGATAGCTGGTTCGCTTCAAAAGAAGAAATGTATTTTTGGCGTGGCATTCATAAACTGCCGGAGAGGTGGGAAAAATGTATAAATAACAATGGACATTATTTTGAATAAAATATTTCTTATCATTTTCAAACAACAGACGTGTAATTTTTACAAAAAAAATTCCGGTTTCATACTTCTACACCTGGTAAACACTCACTGCCTTTATATAGATTGGAAATGTAACACGCACCGACAGGAACAAGATAAACTTGTAACCACTTGTTTATGTGAGTAACCGAATTCGTATAGTAGAATTTTTATTCATTGACTTAATTTGATAAAATACTTAAAACCGCAGTACTTATAAAAAAGCCTATAAATGCCTGCCACTTCAATACAAGCCCTCATTGTAAAATAAAAGTTCAGAAGTGTCGGCTACTCGCTAAAGATACCGTTGTAAGTTACTTGCACCAACGACTATCCATATTATTTGTTTTATTTATATTTGGAGTAAAATACATTTGTAAAAAGGCTTACTGAAGCTCATCAGCCTATGGTAAATGGGATTGTTCGAAGTAATATTAAGTTAAAAATTAATATGTAAGTTACAGATAATAAATCATTACTGGTAATTCGCACCAAAATTTCACGTTATTTTAAAACACCAATTTTGTCTTTAAAACTGATTGATGCAAATTGCATATTTTAAAGATCTTAAAAGTCAGCAGAATATTATTCCCTTCTTTAGTTCTATAAAAAAGAGGCAGTTTTTTAAAAAGAATTAAAAATTTAAGTCAGCCGATAAAAATGCTACTATACTAAGCAAGTTAGAACAAGGAAGATAATGATGTCTATTCATGCAGAGTTGTAAAAATCGCGTTGTTTCACAAAAACTTGTTA